AGTTCACATATATAGTTAAATACCAAGATCATCTCATCATAATAGAACCATCACAAAGTAACCCTAAGTTATACTTGTGCAATGCATAGATAAGATCTCATAATTCCATCTACACTAAGTACCACTTTTAGGCCACCATGCTCATACTTATCATGCTTTGGTCTCATCCATAGTTAATACTCATAGACATGGAAACATTCATGTTCATAGCTTATAACAAGGAAAGCCACTATTAGCAACAATCCATATCATACATACATAAATTCATATATCTTCATAGCATAAGGAAACCACACCATAACCCCTTTCAAAGCCTACTTGTGCAATGTATGAATGAAGTCACATACCCCCACTCACACTAAGTAGAGCTCCTTGAAAAGTCATAAGTATAGTTCATGTTCATGTTCATGTTCATAATTCATATAAAGCATGCATTAACTCATAAATCATCATATCATAAGAGAAACATACCACGACCACTCTCAAAGTCTACTTGTACAATGCATGAATGAAGTCACATACCCCCAATCACACTAAGTAGAGGAACAGTAGTACATAACTCATGTTCTTGTTCATAGTTTATATTCTTGTTCATAGAGGAAAATAACCTTAACCGACATAGACCATGTGAACTACTTGGAATCCGGTGTATTGCCCCACACTGAAAAGAGGTGTCCTACTTGCCTAAGGTAGAAATGACGTTTATTAGCTTAGGTGGATCCACTAGCTAAAGACCTATGTGGGCACATACAGACTAACTGAGGTAAAAGGTTTCCATCTCATGAGATAACTGTTTTTGGAACCCGGACTGACTGGCGTAAAAGGAACCCATTTAGAAAGCCGGACTAACTGACATAAAAGCTTTCATTTGGGAAGTCGGACTAACTGGCGTAAAAGCTTCCATCTCATATTCATATCCACTCGGTGCTAGACATAATTCCCTTTAAGTTCATGTTAAGTTTTGACTTAAGTTCATGTTTATGGAAGAATGCACTAACAATCAATCCAAAATGATATCATGACATAGCTCATAGATTCAATAGGTGAGAATGGACTTTCAACCTTAGAATCATTAATATGTGAGTAAGCCTTTCACATCATATTCATAGTATATGAGAATAGCCTTTCAATCAACACAACAAAATCATAAGTCATAGACATTTCATGCATAGTCATGTGTAAGGGTGCATATGAGAAATAGCCTTTCAACAACACCTTAGTCACATCATAGTCATGTTCATGCATGGTGTGTGTGTGTGTGATTGTCCTTTTAATGACACAACAACAACATTATCATCATAGACACTTCACTCTCAAAGTGTTCATAAAACATGCACATAATATCATAATCATGCATAACCCTCATATCTTGCATTCAAGGACCATGAATCATATTAAGTCAACACATCTAGCATTCACTACATTAGACATGGATATGATCATAACTCAAGTAAATCATTAATTACATGCATAAACTCATGTACTCATATTTTTGGTCATGTGGGTAAAGTCTTTCCACAATAATGCTATATACAATTCAACATACATAGTAGCTTCCTTCTTAAAGCTTCAACATTCATAGCTCATTCATATTAGTTTTTACCTTTAAATCCCTAGAAGTCATCTTCATACTACAAACCTTACTCTTAAGCAATAACTCACATGATCATCATGTATAGCTAATTCTCACGGTAATCTAACCACATGCTTCATTCTTAACCAATTATAGTGACATAGCATCATATGAACTCAATCCCAATACTACTCAACCATGATCCATCATATAAGCCCTAATCTAGTCAATTCATGTCTAGAAGCTTTACTTTTAAGCAATTCATATCTAGGTGCTCTAACCTCAAGCAATTCATAAGGAAGTTCATCAATCTTAGAAGGTCACATCTAAACCCTCAATCCCATCTTTCATGGCATAACATTAACCATATCAATTTCACCCTAGAATCTTAGGTAAATCAAAACTACATGTATAATCATACTAAAATCATGTAATTACACCATAAACAACCATTATCCATTCAATTGGATCAACATATAATAATACTCACACTTTAGGATCCAATTTGGGGAAAATAGGAAATTCATGGATTCTTGAAGAAGTTATCTTAAAACAATAGCAATTCATCAATTTGATCATAATATAAATAAATTAAATCATTGAAATCGTTTTTTAAAGGGAATCCATGACTTGGAGTGAAACCCTAGCTTTTAGGGGAAATTGTGAGTTTTGAAATCTAGTTTTGGAGGGACTCTATGGGTGAAAGCTATCCATAGATGAAAAGCTACCATACCTTATGAAGATTCCTCTCGAATTTGAGTAGGAAAGATGAGTCCTTGAACCCTAGACTTTGACTTATTCTTCTTCTCCAATGGAGATTTTAGAGAGAGAAATATTTGGGAGAAAGTTGGTTATGATTTGGGTCTTGTAATTTTATGAAGTGTAAAGGGTTAGTTAATAGCTTAATAACCCTTATATAGGTCTACTAAAACAATATAAAATGACCCTACACTAAACTAACCTCAAAAGGAATTACCTAAACTGCCCCTCCCTTGGTCGAGACTCAGGCAGAATTGAAGGTATGACCTACACCTGGGTAGGTGAGCTACTGGCCATCCTGCAGGTCCGTAGGTCATGACCTGCAGCTCAAATTTGAGGTCTTGACCCACGAGCTAGACCCACGTGGCGTGGATGGACCTATGCCCTGTAGGTCCCATCTGTATCTCACACTATTGGGCAGCTTTTGGCGGTCTTGGGGAGTCTTGGGGTTTAGGCTTTAGGGTCCTCCTCAAGGACCCTTGGTTGGTCCTTGGGGGGTCGTACCTTGACGTTTAACCCCTAAAACCCTCATCCTAAGTTCGGGAAGCCATTTTACAATATTAACCCACACATCAAACTCTAAAACTCTCACGTAAGGCTCTAGTTTCACATTCTAATTTTCCGGGTGTTACAAACCGATAATAGACTAAGCGAGCTATACATGGAATCCGATGTAACTCCCATATCGAGAAGGTGGAATCTACTTGCCAAGGTAGAACTCTGTATCATGGCATATGCTATATGTGGATCCACTAGCTAGGACACTCGTAATCCCTATCCTAAAAAAGATTATGTAAGAGAGCAAGGGAAGAGAGAAACTTCACCCCAATTGGGGAATCACACATGAGCCTATTACGAAAATCCATACAGATGGGATTAATTGAACCTATCATGTTATATAATAGCCACTAAACATTAATACAATTTCGAAGAAAGAACAAGTCTGAATGTCTCCAGTTCTAGAATAGAAATAAGATATAATATAAGGGTAAGTGATGCCTACTGGAGCAACTGATAGCTACCTCACGTACATCACAATACAAGCCTCTGACATTTAAATTCTTAAAATAGTGGGGGTTATTGAAATGAGAAAAAAAAATGGTCTTGAAAAGTGTGGTTTCTGCATTTTTGAGAAATGCTCTAACAAAAAGTATCACAAGTGCATATATTTATCTTGAAATAAATCACATGTTATGTTTGGATATATTGTGATGACTTTTGTCTCTAACATGAGAGTTATAAATAACTATGAAAAATATGTTGAGTAGCCATTTAGCATGAAATGGTTCGAGTGAGAAAAAATTCATTCTTGAAATGAAAAATACCATAAAACATGTGATGAAATTTTCTCTGTCAATTCACATTATGTTGAAAACATTGTGAAATACAGTTTTGTTGATTTTGTGAGTCTTGCAACTCCTTTTAATTTAATTGGGTAAAACTGGTGTGACAAAAAAAAAGGAGTTTGCTAACCTAATAAAAATATAATATATGTGACTAACAACTTGACTTGATATTGCGTTTGTAGTAAAAGTACTTAACAGATGAGAAAAATTTGTGTTATTTGTTGGAGACGAGAAAAACAAATTGTATTATTTGCTTACTCTACTATGGATGTTGAAATAAGAAAATTTAATCTTTCAACTAGTCAAAAAGTGAATTGATTATCAAACACTTTATTTTGAGAAATAAATTTTTCTAATTTTGATTAATTGTGATAGCACCAATATTATTGAAAGAGTACAAAATTGTTATTACAACGGTAAATCCAGACTCATGAGGAGAAAACACAATATTGTGAGATCATATTGATTGTTGTTATACCATCAGCATTAATTGTGTTAAGACCTGTGATACTCTTGCGGATTTATAAACTAAGGGCTTAGCAAGATAAAGAGTCTAAAGCACATCAAGGATTGATGAAATTGAAGCTCATAAATTCTGAATCATATATAAGGAAGCCCAATCTGGGACAAGAGATCCTATAAATAGGTTCAACGGAAAAAAGAATCATGTGATGACTTGTCATGAAACACGCTAATATTAATTTTATTCAATCCCTATGACGTGAATGCATTGATTCTTAGCATGTCATGCATCCCTCCGTCAAAATGAAGGACGATTTTGTACTAACATATAATTGATTGGGGGTGGTTATATTTGAACCGAAACTATAACTAGAGGTATATTTATATTATTCTAATAATACAATGGTATAGTTGACCCTTTTCCGTTTAGCATGTCTTTGATAAGCCTTTCAGAATGAGGTCTAAATCCCAGAGCATACCCCTGAAAGGCTGAATATTGAGAAAAGATCATTGAGGAGAGTGGAAGAACAAAGTTTCTTTCCCAAAAGGAACAAGAGTGAGACCTCAATGAAGAGGGAGATGAATAGCAGAGTACAAGTAGCTGGTGAGCGCCAGCTAAGTCTAGCCGTCACTACATAATTTGATCTGTATCCACACCTAGACGGCCTTCACTAGGTGCGTTGGTGCGATAGGAAGCTGTATGTTTAACTTTACCAAACTTCAGTACTATACATACGGAAATTTGTAACTACCACATTTTCTGATATCCAAAATGTAAAAAAATAAATATTCAACCTTCCTTATTCAAGTCTCAAGACAAGTTTACATAGACAACAGAAGGAACATGAATGAAGTGCTGCGAACTATATAGTTTTATTAGATTACAGACACTGATATCAATCAGTCTGACATCTTCATCTCACAACAGCAAACGTTAAGTTGTTTAGCACGACCAAACCGTAGGGACAATTTGTCTTCAGAACAGCAAAGCGACACGGCAAACTATCTTTGTAAATATACACATACTAGTAACTAGAATTTCCCATAATTTTTATTTGAAGCACACATGGATGACAAATTTGAAGACTTGCTGTCCTCACATATTATGCTACCTGCTAATATCTTACGCCAGTTGAAACATCTGAACATCTCCCTCATGCCTTTAAGATGCCAACATCAACTTCAAATTGGTTGTGTCTAAGACAGCCTGTGGATACCCATCTATTCCATTAGGTGCATGCATCCTCCCTCTGCTGAGCTTCGTACCCTGGCGTCTTATGGTCCTCAGTCTAGTTTCATTGACCGCTATATTGCATCCTTTGGTGCAGTGACCTTTTACAGTAGGAACCACTGTGTAAGGGTGCACCACGACTGATGAAACTACATTATGCAGGTTGTGGAGTGCTTATTCAGTTCTTCCTGCCTTTGTGCTGCCAGCATCTTTTATTACCTTACGAAGATTTCCTTCTGCAAAAAGAACCATTACGCAATGTTGCTCCACAAGTTGGAGAATAGTTGACTGATGGAATGTCTATATTCAGATGCTTTTTTCCACTGCTAATTTTGGCAACTGACCTGCAAATAAACTTGGTATTTTAACTCCTAATTGTTTAGAAATGGGCTCTTTAACCCTCATACCCTTATGTCCTACACACCGCTTTCTTCCTACTGCAGGTTGCCTGGTGCAGAAACTACCATCATTTAAATGAACTCCACATATGACATTGTAGTTCTGGTGGATAAGAGAACTGGAGAAATCTTGAGAGTCTTGTGTACCCGCTCTGCTAGAAAAAATATGCTGACAATCATTAATAGAAGAAGTCCTGTTTTCCAGTATAGGATTGTGGGTCCACTGGCCAATTTTGTCTGTCATTGGCTGAGAAATGGAGCCTTGATTTCTCCATCCCTTGTGCTCCATACATCTTTTGTTTCTCTGGAATGGTATTCTTGCACAAGGAGAACCACTATCCAAGATAAAACCACAAATTGGAGCATTTTCCTCACCTATACTCGCACACGATCTTGTGCTCTCATTTCCTTCTGCAATCAACTTAGACTTTACACTGTTTACCTTCATTCCCTTGTGCTCAGCACATCGTTTATTTCCTGTTATTGGAGGCCTTATACAGACAGATCCATGACCTAAAGCCACGCCACAAATAATATTTGGATCACCATTTACACCAAAATTCAGTGAAACTATCCTTGGCTGTGATCGCCCAAATTTCAAAATTTGTGGAAGGAAGTTGGTGCTTTTGAAGCTATCATGAAAATCAGATCCATTCTCCAATAAAAGGGGCTCGCATGCCTTGATTCTAATGCCCTTTCGTTTCCCAAGGGACAGTTGAAGTTTCCTGATGAAAGCAGGAAAACGACTTTCTCTTGAAATGCCATCAAGCTTGCGGAGGACATCATTGTGGCGACGTACACCATTACTTCCTTTATTCCAAGCATAATCAAATTTGTCGAGCAGCTGGGCTTCAGTTCTCTCTGCATCTTTATTGTCATTCATCTGTTAAATATCATGAAACATTACCAAAACCTATAATGGAATTTATGGTTCATAGTAACTAAGGTACAAATAATCAATACAGCATGCAATTACATTCACTGAAACATGCTCAACTGCGAAACTACATGGCAGGCAGACAATTCACAATGATTTCTCAGAGAACAGAACAAAATGATGTGCTGAAAGCGAAAACTCAACTTGGCCTTTTAGTGTACCCATCTATAGCTTAGGGAAAGAACCTCATGGTAGTATTTTATCAACAAGATTACTAAGTCTAACTAGGAGAGCTTTAACCTGAATGCCAAATAGAAAACTGACAAGCGAAAGCAACAACTAATTGCAATTTTTGTGAAGGAAAAGTAACATTATCAAATCTAACTTCACATTTATCCCAAAAAAAAAAAAAACAGTTTTACTTATAACTTGCATCACCAAGCGAGAAACATCTTTTTCCATTTCAATATCTAACAGGAAACCACAAAATGACACATCTGCAAGCTGCTTAAAGATGTAGATAGGAGAAATATGTACTTACAGGTGCCCACCTATAAACAATAGAGAAGCCTCTTGAGAATGTTTCTGTAAATAATCCAGCTCTCTTTGGACCAGATATATTTTTATCAACGCGTAGCTCGCTGTTGTAACAGTCATTCTCTAAATGAGCACCTACACGTCCATATTGCTGCAGCCTAGTCCTAACATTATCCGATTTTCCAACATATACAGGAACAATATAATCAGCGCCAAGTCTGCTAGCCTCTCGCTCAGTCTTTCGTCGTGACACAGCTATTCCCAGTTCATAAACTCCAGAGCATGAGGTGCAGTTTGGCAGGTTCTGAGTCCTATATCTCTCTGTTCCTTCCTTCCCCAGTAAATAATCCTCCCAATCATTAGGCCCAACCAGAATCTGGCAGTAAAACAGTCATGATGAATCAGAAGCACAATAGGTAAGTTGCTAAATATAACTTTGCTACAGTTCATCATCTAACCAACATGGAGAAAGAGAATTGAGATTACCACAGTAGAACTATGTTTTCCTCGCAAATTAGATACTCCCTCTATTCCATATTAATTGAATTTGTGAGGCAATGCACATATACTAAGACATACCTTCAAACACATAATTTAAATGATAATTTCCACAATTGTCCTTTGTGAAATCATAAATATTACTTTGTAAGTAGTGTAATTAGTCTTCTGAAAAATACAAAGCTTCAATTAAGGAAAGGGAAAATATAGAAAAAAAATTCAAACATCCATCCTAAACTTTGAACAATTCAATTATTTTAAACAATGAAAAAAGTCTGAAAAAATTCACTTAAGGAACATAGGAGTAATATTAAAGAGATTCTACATTTCTACAACTACTATGTTATTTCTCCACTTCTTCACTTCCATAATCATGAATTACCTAATTAAAGACAAGCAAGGACAGCTCCAGATCTAAATCTAAGCAACGAAAATGAAATATTTGTCGAATTAAACAGAAAAAGAAAAGTGAAAGAGATTTCATGGAACCTTCCAGTCGGAGAAAGCGGAATCATGTTTTGTGCGTTTACAGTCTTCTCGTTTGAGCCAACCGGTGAAGGATTTGTCAGCAGCTGCCATTGAGCTCTTCAGCTGCACTACACTCGCTGGTATTTCCACTCTTTTTCCTCACTCCTATTTCCACTTTTTTCCTTATTTTGTGCGGAATTACATATATTAGTTATTTCAATTTATAAATGGTATAAAATAGTATATCAATTTTTATGGTGTAAAATAAAATAGTATATCAATTTATATATGGTGTAATATATATATATATATATATATATATAATAATAGTTTTTTGACACGTGTGTTGTACGTGATTATTAATTTAGAAAATTTAAGCTAATATTTGAATAATAAGCTTTGCACTAATAATATTGCAGATTCTTTTGTGAATATTCAATGTGGATCGTCGTATATATGTCTTATTCACACGAACCTATGAAGATAGTCAATGAAAAAATTTATTAATTAAATGCAATAATGTATATATTTATTTCAATTTGATGAGGTTCAATCATATAATAAGTCGTTTCTCAGTAATATTACCTTATAGACGATATTTGTTGTGTACTTTTCTTGTCATCTAACCAGTTGTGCTTTGCATGTGTATTGCACTTAATCTGTTTAGATGTCATATGAATATGTGGAGAACAACTACATTTTATTTTTTAGAACTATTTTTGTATATTAACTTTTATTTTTTAAGTTATAACATAATATATGATGTTCTTTTTGTTGGCTCTTATATTTGACTTCTCGATTGACAGTGTACATAAATCAAATATAGTTATCTAATGTCCATAGTTAATTGAGAAAAGTTTTCTTTTTTTTTTACCGAAAAAACTAAAAATTAAAATTAAAGAATATATTCTATCTGTGAAATCATATATATAATCACATATTTATCTTACACCCAACAAAGATATAGCTCATATACTTGTAAACATTTTTCAATTTATTCAACCAAGCATGTTTTGCATTAATGAAAAAATTTATCTCATAAAAATTATCTATTAAATAAATAATAAAATTAAACTAATACAAACTTCAACTGGTGTTATTTGAAGTCATATCAACTTTTCTTTGTCGAAAATACTGAAATATTAAGAAATAGTAAATTAGTAAAACAAAAGGGCAATGTTTACATAGTAATAACTATTTTGAAGCAAAGTTCTTAACAATCTAAATTACACAAGTAGCATTGATAAATAAAGTCATTTTTTGTCTTCTGCATAAAAAAAATCCGTGATAATTCTCTAACTCTTAAGAAGTTTAATAATTTTGGAAAAAGATATTCAAAAACATATATCTACATCACAAGAAAAATTGTTAACAAAAAGTAAATGAATTTAGACTACAATAAAAATTAAACTAATACAAACTCCAACTGGGTTATTACAAGTCATATGGAATTTTCTTCATCGAAAATACTGAAATATTAAGAAATAGTAAATCAGTCAAACAAAAGGGCAATGTTTATATACTAATAACTATTTTGAAGTAAACTTCTTGACATTCTAAATCACATAAGTAGCATTGATAAATAAAGTCATTCTTTTGTGTTGGGCATAAAAAAAAACAAATTGTGACAATTCTCTAACTCTTGAGAAGTTTAATAATTTTAGAAAAAGATATCAGAAGCATATATCAACATCACAAGAGAAATTGTTGACAAAAACAAATGAATTTAGACTACAATGAAAATTAAACTAATACAAACTTCAACTGGGTTATTACAAGTCATATAGACTTTCCTTCGTCGAAAATACTTAAATATTAAGAAATAGTAAAATCAGTAAAACAAAAGGGCAATGTATATATAGTAATAACTATTTTGAAGCAAACTTCCTAACAATGTAAATCACATAAGTAACATAGATAAATAAAGTCATTCTTTTGTCTTGAGCATAAAAGCAACAAATCGCGACAATTCTCTAACTCTTGAGAATTTTAATAATTTTTGAAAAAGATATTCAGAAGCATATATCTACATCACAAGAGAAATTGTTAACAAAAAACAAATGAATTTAGACTACATCATGTTAACTTCATAAATTGGAACATTACATACTAATGTATAAACTAAGCCAAAAATAATTATTATATCATCAAAATTATTTTCCTCAAGTACTCGAGGTTAAGGAATATACCCTCTTAAGATTGAACAATTTACTTCATCAGAATAGTGGTACCTCATATTTCGCTAACTTCGAACTCACCCAACAACAATAAATCACACAAAAAATTTTAAAATGCAAGAAGAAGAAGAGTAGAAGATTAAAAAAAAAATGTGATTGAAAAATGAGAGGAAACCCCTCTATTTATAGTAAACAAAGGGTAGTATGAACAAGAATTTTTTGTGTCTTATATGAAAAGTTATGACCTTTCCGAGAAGTCACAACCCTTCAAAAAGTGACAACTCTTTGGAAAAGTCACAACTCATTGAAAAATCACACCCTTTGAAAAAATTCACAACTTATCAGAAAAGTCATAACTCATCGAAAAAGTCACAACATAAGTTAGGGATATTATAGTAATTTAACATTCAAGTTAGGAGTTCATTCTTTTAAGGTAAAATAAAAGAATAATAATAAAAAAATAAAAATAAAAATAAATAAATATATATATATATACACACACACTAATTTCGTATTAGTTAAGCAAAATTATTAGCCTTAATGATAACAATACCATATATGATACTGATTTAGTCCTGGTTAAGCGAAAATTATCAACCTTTATGAAGGGGGTATGGGCCGTAATTATTTATGAGAGTATTGGTATTTCTTCAATTACTTTGAATTTGAGTATGAACATGTAATTATTTTGGGTTTTATGGCCCATTTATGTAATTTTTCCTTATATATAAGGGAGAGTTGAGCTCCTTACTTTTCCTGGATTATGGATATTTAGGAGATTCCCTTATTATCTTCATTGAGTTGTTTGTATATTAATGCTTTTGAAGTTGTACTCTATTTTAATGGTCGAAAAAAAAAACTAAGCCTAACCGGCTGTTTTAGGGATAATATTGGTATTTAATATTTTCAGTTGATGTTGCCTTTTGTACATCCTGAATAAAATCTTGAACTGCCTCAAATAACTTATCTAATGGTCCTGAATACTATTGTATATTTCGCAAAATTATTCTTGCAAGGTAATTGAGATAAGAGCATAACTTTCAGAATATATAATCAAGACAAATTTATCTTGATTATATTGATATATATCCAAGCTGATGTGACATTAAATGTCACAGATAAATAATCAATCATTGCTTATGAGAAAAAAAGTTCATTGTTTGAAATACGATATTGCATACATGTAACACCTCAGTATTTAAAAGAACTAAAAATAGAAAGAACTAAATTGGAAATAGCGAAATCTGAAATTTTGCAAGTTAAGCTTAAGATATGAGTTTTGGGTCAACTTCAAATGGCCATAACTTTCAGTACATAATTAGTTAGGTAGGCTATGAGGTATCAAATGAAAGGTCCTGGAATCATCTTTTCAATGCCACCGAGTTTGCTAATTTTGAGCTCGTATGAAGGAGATATGATTGTTTGAAGTCCGGCTGTTCAATTAAAGAACGTTACCCGAATTTAAGAAGAGTATTTTGGTCTTTCCTCACATAATCAAGTTAATTCATTTTTAGTAATTAATTAGGGGTCTAAACTGATTTGGTTAAGTTTATGCACTCATAATTCACACTAGGGTTATCAAAAAAAGGTTCAAGAGGAGAAAAGAAGACAAAAGGTCAAGATTTCGTCAAGTTCTTGAGATTTCGTTGCAGATTTCGCCAAGGGTTTGATCCCTAAGAGGTATGTGAGTTCACATAGCGTTGTTTTCGTTCACCGACATGCCAATCATGTTAATTTCAGCGTAATTTTGTCATAAAAATTGGAAGTTTTGATGTTCTTGAGTTGTGTTCTTGAATTTGCTTTCGTTCTTGAATTAGGATGTGATTGATGAGTTTATTGAGATAATCATAACGATTTTAAGAATTATTTTTGAGTTGATTATTGGGTATGTGTATTGGGTAACCGAATCTAAAGAGAAATTGAGAAAAAAAAATTGATTTTAGTCAAATTAAGATAAGAAAATGAGTTGAAAAATTCGTCGAAATTTACTGGGGAGGGGTGGCGCAGCGCGCCACTGATGCACCAGCAGGGCTGGTGTGGTGCGCTAGCGGTGCGCCAAAAAGTAGTCTATGAACTTAGGGGCTAGCGCCTCCCGCCAACGGTGCGCCAGAGTCGCCTGCTCCCGCCTATTTTCCGTTGTTTAGCCCGTCTGAGTCCTTCTAAAGTGTAATAACACTTCCTATCGATTCTACTACTCTAAATGACTTCTAAACATCTAGAAATCATCCGTAAACATCAATCATAACCTTGAATCCATAAATTCAAATTTCAGGGTAGAGCTAAGAGTCAAGTCTTGAGAGTTCTTAGAGTCTTTTGCAATTGTTTTAAACTTGTTTTAAGACTTGAGCATTGAGTTGAGTAAGATTAAGAGTGAAGTTAATTTTCTTTAAAATGATATATGGTAACTAAGTATTCCCAAGAGTAAATGTTTTCAGTTTTAAACAAGAAAGGAAACACCGATTTCCAAGAGAGCTTTTGAGCTAGTTTTGATTATCATCTCTTTTAAGAGAAATATTTTGAGTAATAATCACAAACCACAGAGAAGTTATATTTTTAAACATATGAGCTAGTTACATTTTGGAAGTATTATTGAGCACCAATATGGGGGCGAGTTCAGATAACTCAAAGTCTCCATAAACCGTGTAGCCAACATGGGTAGAAAGGGTCATACTTTTTAGATGATTCCTTAATGCTTTTAGCATAGACTAGTGGATCCACTTAGTAGTAGGTTCTATACCTAGGCAAAGTATAGGATGTCCCTGGCAGCGTGAGGCAAGACGTTGTATCATTACATAGCTCATAGTGATGGTTGTCGATTAGAGAATCTCCCACATAGTTACATATATTTTCATATATAGAGCTAAATTAATATTGTTTTTTTAATACATTGAGTTATGATCTACATGTTTCAAAACTTTTCTTTATACTGCATCCTTATTACTGCTTTATATTGAAATGAGTTGAGTTGAGTT